ATAGTTATGCTGGAAGTTATTCAAGAATAAGTGACTTAAGTAGTCAGTTGATTCAACAAAAGAGAGAACATGAAAACAGATTAGAAGAGTTAGAAAAAAGTAAAGATCAAAGAATTAAAGAATTGGAAGAAGGAATAAAAGAATTGGAAGAAGCATTAGAATTAGAGGAGGAAACATCTGACTGTCATTTAGAGGCTCTTGAAGTGGCTAGACAATGGAGGATAAGGCAAAGCAAAGAAAAAGATGACAATTTAGAAAAAGCTTCAAGAAAAATAGAGACGTTGGAAAATATTGTGGCATGACAGGAATATTTATCTGGCAAGCAACTCCAAGACTTACCATCCTTACCAAAGAAAGAAAAAAATTCAGACATGTAACTAACAAAATCAAAAACAGAATTAAGCAAGTAAAAGCAATAACTCAAGAAAAATTCAGCACCTATATTTTACAAAAGAATAAATAGCATGAAATTAGAATATCAAGCTAATGAGTTAAGGAGAGGAGATAAATAGTATTGTAATTTCTGCCCTTTTGAAAGAGAAAGAAGTTTAACTGTTACTTACAAAATGGTATCTTACAGTACAAGCAACAATGATTACAATGACATTGCTTATATTTGTGTTGAGTGTAAAAAAGCTCTTGAGGATGATACTCTGTCACACTGTAATGATTGTGATCGAATTATGAGAAACAGAATAGACTGCTTCTGTGATTTAAGAAAAGATGAGCCAGTTAAAACTCTGACAATAACAGAAATAATGGCACAGAGTTATGTGGGTAGATTGGAACAACAAAATAAAGACTTGAAACAGCAACTAACTAATGCTAAGGAAGAAATTAATTCTCACTTGAAAGCCTTAGAAGTTTCAAAGGATTGACATAATAAGCAAAAACAAGAATTGTTAGATAAAATTCAAAGACTTGAATGTGAGGTTGAATTTTTAAGAAAACAGCAAACTCAACATATTGCTCAAATTGAAGTTAAAGAGACTAAAAAATGATCTTGATTGAAATTAAGGAAGTAATTTAAATTTCATAAGTGATTTTTTCTTTATCTAGATATTCCTGGAGT